ATTGTAAGTCCTCCATTATCCCAAAATTGTAACACAATTTACCTCAATTTACCGGGATAATTCTCAATTTGCCAGAAAAATTCCAGGCAAATTTTGCGACAATGACATCTGTTCGACCTGTGATAGTCTGTATTGCTAGATTAATTTATGCTAGATTAGCTTATGCAAATAAATATACTGTAACATGTAAGTCATAAATCAAAATTGCAATTTTTATGAATTTTATTCATTAAATTTATTAATTTAAATTTGAAATCAAAGTGCATATGTATGATTGTATTAATTGCCGCAAATTATATAATCAGTAGGAAATGATCTTCCTAGTAAACAAAAATCAAACAGATACTTAAAATATAATATTGTGTCGGGATTTTGACTCATCAGTAACTTGAACTTTCAGGAAATTTAAATACTGGATTTTAGACCATTCGGGATATGATACTTTCGGGATTTTGATCGTTCAGTATATTGTCTTAGTCGGGAATATGTGCCTCAGGATTTTATTATATCGGGATTGTGCTTGTCGGGATTTCGTGGTAAACCCTTTTTATTGTAATAACCTTTATAATTCCGGCCAAGATCATAAATAATGCAGACCAAAAAAATCCAAATTCTTTGATTTATAATGAGGATATAACAAGGAGATTCCATGAGTTTGTACTAGGCGTCTATAAACAATTACGCAGATATGCAAGTGAGAGAACAATAGGTTCAGTTGATATCATATGCAATTCATTACGATAATAAAATTCCGTAAAAAGAAAAAGATGAATCAAAAAAATAAATATTATATATTTTTTAAAAATCAATTAAATTGATGCAAACGTATGTGAAACATTACAGGAAATGTATCGCATAATTTTACCACACAAAAAATAATTCATATGAATTTTTTATTTTATTATTTATTTTTATTTTTATTTTTTTTTAAAAAAAAAAATTTGGCCCAAAGTAAAGTAATTTCTTATCAAATGAATGAATACAAATGAACAAATTTAGATAAATTATTACTTTTTTAAAAATAATGTGTAATTTCTCTTATATTGATGCATTAAAATATCATTCCGATCATGGTATCATACAAATACAATAGATCTACATGCATAGATACATTTAAAAAAAACACGATATCAGATATATCAGATAAAAGTATCGTTTCGCACATCATGTTCAGTTTATTTGGTGTATCAATTCATTAATTAACTTTTAACATTTTTTTTATAACTTTTCAGTTTTAATTAAATAAATCAAATATTGATTATCTTACGAAAATCTAAAAAAAAATGATTTCAAATATAGAATAAGAACATGAATTAATCAATTGATTATCCAAATATATTTATTTTGATCATAAAACATGTAAATAAAAACAATTCAGAGAGAATTTTCTTTCGAAATCATTCGGCGCAAACTTCCGATAAGTCATTAAATTAATTGCAACGTTTTAATAATTTGTTTTCAAAAGTCAACTGATATTTTTTTTTTTTTTTATAACACGAATAATTTTTTATTCGATTTACTTTATTATGCAAAATTTATGTTAATAAATACAAAAATGGTTTAGCTTCTTTAATACATATTGCGTAAATCACATATTTACATGTATGATAAAGAAATTTAGGGTATAAATGTTATGCCCCAAGTTGACGATGTGCCCCAAATCAACGATCGGCCTAAATTATCGGCCTACCTTCATAATGCCTTAAGAATTTTTCTAGCATTACTTTTCACATATAGTAATCATCGATGATTATCGTCAATTTGGGGCATATTGAGATTTGGGGCACAACATAAATAATGTGATTTTTTGCTATCTTTTCTCTTCAAACTCCTCTCGCAATCAAAAAAAAAATAATTTCAAAAAACCAAATAAAGTATCTTCCAATATCTTCTTCTATAAAATAAACATTTTACTTCTTGGAGTCCTATAAAAAATTTTTTGGAAAATTGATCATGTCAGAGTTTTTTTGGAATGAAAACGTGATGCGGGAGAAAATACCAATTGGTAAATGTTCTTAAATTTCATTATTTATTATTAATCTTTTTTTTGCAACATTAATTTTATTAATATATAAATTAAATAGGGCCACGAACTTCTAAGGAACAAAGTGAAAACGGCATTACTGTTTCGCTTTCTTATTTTGTGAAAATAAAAAATTTCAAAATGGCATTTTTTTTTCACAAAGTAAGAAAGCGAAAAAAATTTATGAGGGCTTGTAAAAAACGAATAAGCTTTATCTTTAAGAAGAGGGGGAATAAGAATACGTGGAAGATTCTTTCTCCTGTTTACAAGTGGTCTGAAAATGCTGTTAAAACTTTAAAACCTGAAAAAAGTTATTTAAGTGAGATTGAAAATTTCCAAAGATTAATTCAAATGTTATTATTTAAACTGATTATTGATAATGAAGCAAATTTACATACTCTTGAATTCGAGATCCATTGTGGTACTCGGAATTCTTATTTCAATAATATTTTAGAAAAAAAAAATAGAGTATATTAAGTATTGAAAGTAATATATGCAAAAAAAAATGTTATTCAAGGAAGATGTTCTAAGCCATCTTTACTCTTCTCAGCGAGTAAAGATCTTTCCATACGTTTATAGAACCTCAAGACCATGCAGACTGTCGCCATCTTTGCCGAAGAATGTGTAGTAGGGATAGTCATAATATTTAGTCATAGTAATATTTAGTTATTTTATTATTTATTTATATGGTATTAAAGAAACGGTAAATAAACAATAAAAAAATAATAAACTAAGTATTTTAAATGAGTTCATCTACTGCAAGGGCTAAGATAAATCAAATTTTCGTGTTCGACAAAAAAAGTCGTATTGATTGACTGTGTAGAAGTAGTAGATTTGAAAGTAATACATGCAAAAAAAGATAAAAAAAAAAATGTTACGTTCTAAGCCATCTTTACACTCATCCTAACAATTTTAACATTTTTAAACTCGCCGTTGTCGAAGCGGTAACCGCATCATAACAATTAGAGGAAGTTTGTATCGCAGCTTGAGAAGCATAACGGGAATTCGGTGAAAGATTCGGTACTACTAGTAAGGTACCCTCTATAACCAATTTTTTTCCGTAATATTATAAGTCTTCAAAAATGCACAATGTTATGTGTTTATTAATTATTGGGAATAATACGATTGGCTTTAGAATAAATGTAAGCTAAAGATTCGAACTTTCTACTATTTCTTCATTACAATATTTACATGTTACAGTCAAACCTTTATATAACGATATGTCGGGACATATATAAAATTTTTAGAAAATATCGTTATATCAAAGTTATACCGATATTTATATGTCCTCACATATAGTGGGAAAATAAAATTTTATCGGTATATCAAGTTTTTAATAGTATATCGGTATATCAAATATCGGTATATCGAGGTTAGACTGTAGTTGGTTCCGGAAGGATGATATTTAATTGTCCTTTTTCAATAAAAGTGAAGGATATTATTACGTAATTTTTTAAGGGTGGCCCGTGGCTGTGTAGCAAAAATCTTGCGTTACGCTTAATAATAAATCATGTGATTATTCTATCTTACATGGGTGTCATTCCCACCACGATTGTTCAAAACTACGGCCTTGGCGGAAGTCTCCTGATCATTCTCAATTATACGTTTTTTGGGACTTTTGTTTTTGTCTGATACACTATATTCATCAAACTTTGCATGACTTGATGCATCATTTCCATTATTTCTCGAAAACTGACGCGTTTCGCGTTTCGATGTCTATAATCCAATATGGCGTGATTTGAGTAAAATAATTCATGTATTTCTCATCTTCATTTTTGACTTTTTTTTGTTAATATAATCTTTGAAATTCGCGAAAATGTCTTCTTGTTTTATATACGCGGAGCCTGGTCTATGATGCTTCTTCTTATCGTTATTCTCCTACGATATTCTCTTCTACGAAATTCGAATGTTCAAATGTTGGTTTTCTCGGTAATTTATATGAAGGCAATATGACATTATTTTTTGATTAAAAGGCTTTCTGATTCAATCGGTAAAAAATTGGCCATTACTTTATATAATTGTATCCACCCTAACCCAGTAACTTCGCACCATTATCCTTATAACACTAAAAGACTAAAGTGAACTATTTCCTTGTGAATGTTACATATCCTTAGTCCTATTCTAAAAACGGTCATAATATAATTAACACTTTTTTCTAAAAATATACTGCCTTTGCGAAAGACTTACGCTCAACTATACGGGACATACACTCTTCGTTGTTGTTCAATCCTCAATAGTAATTAATAAATAAATTGCTTTAAAAAACTATTACATACATTTGATATAGTAGTTCATAATTTCGTTTTTCTAGTTGTGTTGTTAATAAAACGAACGTAAATTTGATCAATAAATAACATACTTTATATAAAATATTACGTCAGTTACGCTAATTAAGTCATTGTTAAAAGTAAATCTACACTAATAGTTCTCTTGTTGGTCGATTAAATGTTCAATTGAATATAATTATATTTCTGGGAGGGCTTACAGCAAAGTAAGGGCATATAAAAAACGCCATATCTGTTATTAAAAAAATCCAGAAAATTTTTTTATACCATCCCCATATCAATTGTTAAAGATGATGTGATCTTGATAACATCGCCACATAAAAAAACGAGGCTGTACGCGGGAAACATATTTAAAATTAGAAATTCCGTATGAATTCCGTCTAAAAATTTTATGGGGCAAACCTTATTATTTATGTACTCGTATGATTGTATTACAGAGCGAAACCTTAACAGGTAATATTAACTATTAACTTGGGGTTTCAGCTGAAAATGGTATGATAGAGAGGGTAAAATCGTAATTTTTTTTTTTAAAAAAAAATATTTATAAATCTATTCTTCAAGTCGATTGTAGATAATTAAATTTTAATCTTTTCAAATATTGACTTACATCCGACGTAAGATGAGTGAAAAAGAAAATCTTAAAGACAAAAGTCTAACAAAACTAGAACTTGAGTTAAAACGTCAAATTTTCAAACAAAATCAAATTTTTTCAAATATTACTAAAATCTTCAAAATGTCTTACCAAATGTGTGCAAATTTCATCAATACTCCTTATAATAATATTCCTCTTGATAAATGCCATCCTTACTGAGCCATTCACCTTTCAATATTTATCACAAGATGGCCAAAGGTGGATGCTCTGAAATTTATACAGCAGCATATCAATTACAATATTTTATTAAGAAAAGCACTAAGTCAGACCTTTTTTAAAGTCATACAGTAAACAAGATTTGGAAACACATATGTCTACTCCTAAAAGGAAAAAAATTTTATCAAACAACGATATGAAGAAACTGAATATGGATCTGATTGAAAATATTAATCAAAATCTTAATTATCAAATAGTATGCTAATAGATTTTATGGAAAAAAATTAACTTTAGAAGAACATGAATGTCAAAAAATGTTTGAATTAGAAGAAAAAAAATTAACTCAACAATACGAGTTAGAAAAGAGTAAATTGGAAATAGAAAAATTACGTGCTGAAAATGGAAAAGTTAAATTAGCAGCTAAGGTGCAAACAAAACCCTTAAAGAAGTTGTACTCTGCCTCCCCGCGAATCGAGTAAGAGACATTACTGATACGAATGAAATTTTAAATGCTCTTGCCAAATTTTGCCCAAACATTGAGCTCTTCGCGATTCTGGTATAATTACAGAAAAATTGGAATAACGGTACATCTAAAGGAGGATCAATGCATGATAAACAAAAGATGGATAATAATGAAGATATTAAAGCGGAATTAACAAAAATCACTAATAAAGAAATGCGGCACAGTAAAACATATTATAATGATTGTATGTCACAAGAGTTACAGTTTATTATATATATATATTTTATATATTTATTTATAAGGTCGTTCCTTATCAGTCGGGATAAGGAATGGGTGGCTTCGTAGGGTATAAGTGAGGGTTTGTCCTTGGATAAGGATGGGCGAAGAGTTTCAATTAGTGTCATTATTCTTTTGAATGTATAGGACCTTTTTTATTGTTTACTCTCCTGCTTTTACATAAAATAAATATATATTTATTTATATACATCCTTTATATCATTATATCATTATAACTTAATATTGAAGATACTTGTTCATTAATCATATTTTTATTCATATTGTAAAAATATACTGATACTTAAAATATCATATTTGTTATAGTTTAAACTAAAAATTTTATGAATATAGGCATTTGTTTTTTGCAAATAAACAATCTTGAATTTTAAAAGTTGAATTATTAATGAAAATTAAATAGCAATGAAAAGCTTGTTATAGTGAACCCTTAGTTCCAACCATTTTCGTTCACTATATAACAAATAAATATTCACAAAAATGAAAGATTTCTTAGTAAACCTTATATTAATACAATAAAAAGTTTCTTTACTATGGTAGATAGGGGAATCAGTGGTTCTTTTTAGTTTGTATTATTTGTATCAATGGTTTTTGTCTGTTTAATAAATTGATTTACAATCTTAACACAAAAAAAAAAAATAAAAAGTTTCTTTTAATAAAAGTATTTAATTTTTAATTTTAAAGTATTAAGGATTTCCAATTCTGTGTATATTTAGACCAATATAATTTCTTTATCTGATAATAGTTCTATTGGCATTTCATAATATAATCTTGTAAATTTACGGTAATAATAAAGTGAAATATATCTAATTCTAATTTTTGTATTAAAGTGATTTGTAAACAATATACCTAATGATTTTACATGATATTCACTATAACAAATGGGTGCTTTGCAATAGAAAGGAACAAAACTACCAAAAAAAAACAAAAATGAGTTAATATAAAATCTGAATAAATTATAGCATTTAGAATATTTTTGGCATATAAAAGAAATTTAAACTTTTTTAGTAGTTTCGTCCCTTTCTACTGCAAAGCGTCCAAATATAAATTTATAATATACATTTTATATAAAATTCTTAAAAAGTTCACTATATCTAATATTGAGATTTTATTAGTAAGTTTACTATAACAAATAAGATTTATTAGTAAGTGAATTGGGAAAATAAAAAAAGTTTACTATAAGCCAAAATTTACTATAACAAGCTTTACTATAACAAGAATTAACTTTTTATAATAATACTAAAATTATATCAAGTTTTAAAATACAGTAAATTTAATTTACTAAATAATTTTACTAGGCAAATTTTAATTATATAACTATTGACTAAAGTAATTAACTAATTATTAATAAAATTATATTTTAATATTTATATTTAATAAAAGATATATAGTGGTGATCACCTATAAATCATACTAATATTATGTGATTTCAAATTTTTATAAATTATAAATTAAATAGAAAAAAAAAAACTAAACTGATAAAATGATAGAGCAATATGTAGTAAAAATTTCTATCAAGTTATTTTATAGAATTTAATAAGAATTTTAATTAATATTTAGGTTAAAGTTGGATAATTTTAATAAATAGCAATAATAAAAACATAAAATTTTAAACTAGTTTACATGTAATTTTTATAAATTTTACAAAAATTCCATAAGAATTCCATGTAATATAGCAAAAAAAAATTTTGCCACTTATGCAACAATTATTATATTTTAACAAAGTACTTTAAAAATAAGTTATATAATATAAATAATGAAATTTTAAATTTCAGATTTTGTTGCGTATAGATAACCACTATCATAATACAGTCAACTCTTCTTATAACGAATTTTGATATAACGAATTTTATAATATAACGGATCTTCAGTATGGTACAGATTTTAACATATGAAAAAAATCTCATTATACCGAATTTTACTAATTAAATGCTATATACCGTTTAATGAAGTAAATTTTATAAACCGTATATGAAAAATAGGACCCCAGATATCTAATATAAAGGTCATAATGGACTTTTGGCCAAAAACACCCTTTTTGCTGAAACTCAAAAAATCGTTTTTTGTAAATATCTCGGCATCCAGTGATTCAATTTTAATGAACTTTTTTTTATTTTGTAGCCCTCATTTAGATCTACAATTTTAAAAAAAGTTCATCAAAATTGGACCACTGGATGCCGAGATATTTACAAAAAACGATTTTTTAAACCCTGAAAAATGGGCCAATCTGCCGAAAGTGTGACTTATGACCTGTTTTGGAGATATCTGGGGTCCTTGAAAAATACCCCTTTTAATAACGAATTTTCTTTTATAACAAATTTTTTTCAATATAATGAAGATATTTTGTGTAACTTGCATTTTTGCATTATAAGATACAATTATTATACGACAATATACCATAATACACAAAAATTTTCCAGGTTATACTAGATTTTCCCATCATATTAACGAATATTCCTATAACGAAGGCCTAATCAGCCTGGATGCCAACTTCGTTATATTAAGAGTTGACTGTAAAAAAATAAAAGATACTATTAAAAAATATTTAATAAAATATTTATATAATATTTATAATTGAAAATTATTAGCAGTGATTGTTACTATAATAGTATTAAGATACACTTTTGGTTTGAATTAAAATTTACTAATAAAATACTGATCAGCATTATATTATAAATCTACCATTGATGATATTTAGTAATATCTTTTATAATTAAATAAAATTAAAATAAAATTGCTCATAAAGTATATTTTTGCATTGCATATTGTTACTTTATAAAGTAAGGTTATAGTTTTACACCCACCTGCCAAAAATATCTGGACATTTCTAAAAAATGACCATTAAATCACATTATTTATTTTGATGTCCAGTGATCAGAATTTAATGATTTATAATTCATTGAATTCGTCTAATTGAGATATATCTAACCACAGTATTTTCAAGTCTGTAAGTTCAATAGATCAGAAGTTATCGTTAAATGTCTAAAAACAGTAAAATTCAAATAACTTTTGATCTATTAATCCTAGAAACATGAAAATAATAGATACAATGTACCTTAATAAGACAAATCTAATGAATCATATTTCATCTTTCTAAGTTTAATAGAAAAGAAAATGTTGTGAAATTTGTATATGTCAAATTTTTAAAAATGAATAATAAATTATTTACATTTTACTGTTAAAAATAACATCTGATTCATTGAATTTAGAGACATAAAAATACTGCAATTAGATGTATCTTGATAATATGAATCCATTGAATCATAAATTATTAAATTCTATTCACTGGTTATTGAAATAATGTGATTTAACTTTATGAAGTAATTCGTTTTTTATTTTTAAAAATTTAGCAAATACAAATTTTATAAAGTTTTCTTCCCTATTAAATCTAGAAAGATGAAATATGATTCATTAGATTTGTTTTATTAAGGTACATTATATCTATTATTTTCATGTCTCTAGGATTGATGGATCAAAAGTTATTTGCATTTTACTGTTTTTAGACATTTAATGATAACTTCTGATTTATTGAACTTATAGATTTAAAATGCTGTGATTAGATGTGTCTCAATTAGACGAATCCAATGAATTATAAATCATTAAATTCTGATTACTGGATGTCAAAATAATGTGATTTAATGGTCATTTTTTAGAATTACTCAAATACTTTTGGCAGGTAAGTGTATATAGATTGATATACCTATCATATTTTTTTAATAAAGCTTATTAATTCCTTTAAGGATAATTATAAAAAAAAAAAAAATTATTAAAAATTTAAAACTACCAATATTAATTAAAATTCAAATTTATTAGTAGTAAAAATAATTTTTATAAAAATTTATATATATTATATAAATTATAAAACAAATACTTATTAATAGTAGTGCAATAATTTTATAATATAAATTTTACTTATTAATTATAATAAAAATTTTAATTTCAATATAATTTATATATATAATTTAAAATTCTTATAATTATACTAATTTAAATTTTTTTTTTTTGTTATTTTCAAAATATAATTCTATTACTTTAATTAAAACTATTTAAATATTAATCTTTATAAGTGTAAGAAAACTTCAGATAAATTTAAAATAAGTTATAATTTGATTTTACTACTAATATTTTAAAAAAAGTTTATTTAAATCTGATTACTAAATTTTAAAATAATTACAAAATTAAAATAATAAAAAATATTAATTTTAATATAATTAATTATAAGTTTTATATTAAATATTTGAAGTTCTAATATAAATATAATATTTATTAAGAAAATCATCATAGTATTAACTTTCAAATTTTTTATTCTTTTATTTACTAATTTTTGACTATAATTTTATTACTTTAGTTAAATAAAATTAATTTTCTTTATTAATTAAAAGTTATTTAGTAAAAACAAATTACTTATATATTAATTTTTATGCATATTATCGCTGTTTTCTTTTTAGTGTGATCTAGTTAAAATAATAATAAAAAAAGATGAATTTTAGAAACCTGTGATTACTAAAATTTTATTGTATTTTCAGGTAGAGAAGATGCAAATATAAGCTGAAAATGCAATAAAATTTTAGTAATTACAAGTTTTAAAGTAAGTTTACTTATAAGTAACTTTTAAAGCATAAATGTTACACAAATTTTTAAGGAGTCACTTATATGTAAGTAAACTTACTTTAAAACTTGTGATTACTAAAATTTTATTGCATTTTCAGCTTGTATTTGCACCCTCTCTACCTAAAAATACAATAAAATCTTAGTAATCACAGATTTAAAAAATTCACCTTTTTTAATTATTATTTTAGCTAGATCACACTAAAAAGAAAAAGGCGATAATATAATACTTATGGGAAAAATTATATTTTTCATAATAGCATTAACTTTAAAATTTTTTTTTTATTATTATTATACTCAAAGGGAGCAGTATTCCTTATTTAAAGGAAAAGTTACAAGAACCAAATCCTATTCTAAATAGATTATACCCTACCCGCCTGCAGATATATCCCATGCCACACCGCTGAAACTAAATTGTAAATATAAACCTAGTATACCAAAATTTGAATTGATTAAAATTAAACATTATAACTAATCTGAGAAATAAAATAAAAATAAGACTATAAATAATAAATAAATCTACAGGTTCCAATCTCTAAATAAAGATCAAAATTCCCAATTTAACCCTTCTAACGATTTTGTTGAGCGAATAATCCTGCTTGATCCATCATCTTTCGGAGGGACCTGGCGAAACATTCAGCTGGCTTGATTAGAGTACCTCCTCTAGAGTCGACAATGTTACGCATTGGGCCGTCGTACGTTTCAAATTCATCACTGTTTGACCGTGGTTTACGCCGGACAGAGTTGTTATGTTTGTTGTTACTGACCGATCTGTTCATTAAGGTGGAGATACCGTTTGTACTTTCCCACTGAACGGTCAACTGACATCTGGAAGTCCACCATTCTATGAAAATCTGGGTAACATGATAGTTAGCAATTTGGTACAAAATGTAATACATTTATTCCTGGTAAAATTAAACAGTTTTGACGCTTTATTCGTCATGGATGCGTCGATTTTTCCTTTTATTGCATCCTGAAAGATCGATGAAAACCCCTCTGAAGTCACAGAAATTCCAATTAATCTTTTGAGAAAATTGTCCGCTTGCTGTTGATTTAAAATTTAAGTCTCTTTGTAGTATGGTAAGCAGGGACGAGTGAAAATTGCCGCTTTGGCTTTAAAATTTAAGTCTCTTTGTAGTATGGTAAGCAGGGACGAGTGAAATTGCCGCTTTGGCTTCTATTGCTCTGTGTCCTGTACATGAACCAATATGTGCTACCTTTCATCTTCTATATTACACATTGGGCAAGTGAAATTTTTGTACAGCGTTGGAACGTAATTGGAGCAGTTTTCCTATCGGTAATAGGTTGTTCAGCAATTTTTTAACCCAAAACGCCCAGAATTTGTTGCGAATAGAACTTGTGCATTTGAAATGTTTGACTTATTTCACAGCGTTCCATGTGACATCCCAGTCGTAATCTTTATACGATCTATTAAGGCATCTTGATTACAGTCCATTGCGCGTCATTAAAAAATTGTATCATGTTCTTAATATTATCGATCGTTGGTAAAAAGTTTATATCATCGTGGGCTAGGTTGAATTGAGTCGAAGGGCTAGTACTAGCGAGTTTGGCTAATTCATCTACTTTCTCGTTCCATATATACCCACTGTGTCCTTTTACTTTATGTTCTAAATCTAAATTACCCTTTCTAACTACTCTAAAAATTCTATATAATAATAAAAAATTATTTCTAACTAAAATTTCTCGGTCTGGTGCCTAATATTCCATTAATTGCTTGTATCGCTGCCGCGTTGTCTGTATATATGAGCACTTTCGATCCATTTGAACAAGTAAGTAACGCCAGTAAAATTGTATATATTTCCGCCCTGGTCGAAGATGGCCAATTGTCAATGCGCGACACAACATGTTGTTCTGTTGTAATTTCAATAAAATGCTGCGCCTTGCGCTACCTCATTAGTATTTGGGTCCCATTTGATGTTCGATCTAGCATTGCTGTCTATGATACTACCATGGGAGCGTTTTTTAAGACTACCATCGGTATAAAATTTTAGTTGACTTAGTGTTAACAAACGTTTTTTGGCGTCCATTAAAGTCTTAGCTAAATCCGAAGAGCCGAACCTTATATCTATTAACCGATCTTGGTCAATTACTATAGCCGGCGTGGAGGCGATATCCGATTCACTGTACTCTATTGATTCACTGATTGATGTCGGAGACGAATCGTCATTGGTGCAATGAGACTGGGCTTCCATCTGCGTATTGATTGTTGGTTGATATCACACAAAGGCAATTTGTTGTAATTAAGTTTAGCGGGGTATTTGTCGCAAAGTTGCCATCTTTGTGCGTCACATTAAGTGTTCTTGCCGATTTTCTAGGAATGTCAAGTGTTAAACTGCGAGCTGGCTTTTCAAGTTGGTATAAATTACCCAAATGTGGATCAAAACTAGCTATGTTCCAGATTTCTACGGATAACATATCCTTCTTGTGTGATTTCATAGTAATTTTGGCTACTTGGTATTCTTTTCTTCTTTTGAATACAATCCATTCTTTGTTTCGCCTGTCTTTGGATGGGATCGGTAGATGATCATTAATGATCATTAAAGAAGGCTGGGGGATTATACCTTAAACCGTCCTTAAGTAATCTCGAGCTGTCGTTTTGCGAGAACAACCATTCTAGGTGCTTGAACCAGATTGCTTTTTTCCCTTTGGCTGACAGTCTGGAGAGGAGTCTTGATTGAGCCCATGTTATCATATGTCGTCCATCATGCGTTACAAGTTGGTGGGCAAAGAATAGGGGGTATTTATCCGCCGGTTTATTCATCTTTAATAACGATGACGGGTGAAATAGTTAATCCATTCATCGAGTATGGTTCTATTGACCTTCTATCCTGAACGAGTCTTTCACACGATTTGTATTAAGTTTAGACCAAGGTCAATGGCTTTGAAAACGTCCCTATATTTTAAAATTGCTGAAAAAATATCAGTCGTGCATCGCGCTTGAATTTAACCTTGTCTGAGCCTAATCAGGGTTGTATCTGTGGCGGTGTTTGATGAATTCAGGATTTTAATAAAATTTGTAATATGTACTGCCAAACCCAATATTTCCTTCATGAAATAAGATTGAGTTAGAACTGGACTTTACTATTCCTATCGTATGCTTAACGAATGATAATATGGGTTTTTCCATTCCTTTTGACTATCAGTGTCTGACTGAGATATGCTATCTGAGGTAAAGGACTTTATTAGTTAAATAAACTACATGAGCAATCGATAGCAATTTCTTCCCTACTGTTTGTAAGAAGATATCTCGGATTTATACAATCCTTTGTTTGTTTAATAATCTGGCCCTTTTGCTGTCAAGAAGACCCCTAGATAACGAACTTCCCCGCCTGTGATCCTGATGATATCATTTTATGAATCCCCAAGTAAACTTTATTCTCCGTTATGGATAATGGTGAGTTGAAAAATGACAAGTCACATTTTTTGATATTGATAAATATATCCATTGTGCTATAAAATGAGTTCGCTATGTTCAGAATTACTTGCATACGTTCTTTGGAGGTTTCAATGAACGCTGTGTCATCCATATAAGCTGCTACTGCCACTGAATTATTGTATTTAACCCACGTATTCGGGTTGGCAGGATCGGTGGGCATACACAGCTGATTTCATAACCAATATGGTTTCTGTTTTGTTGTATCTCTCGTTGTGATCGCTTTGAGCAGAGGATCATAGTAGATTCGCCTATTAAAGGGGATAGACTATCGCCTTGATCTATCCCATCCCCTGCTGTGAAAGAAGGTGTAGTTCCAAAGGCTGTAAGTATCTGGGCTTTTCGGTTAGTAAAGAGCCTAATAATTAAGGTGATCAAACGATCTGGGAGGTTCAGGCGTTGGCGCGTTGTAGCGCTAAATTCAGTCCTTTCATGCTGATGGAGTCAAAGGCATTGGATATATCTTGAAACATAATCCATAATTGTTTGTTGTTGGTTTTTGCATCTTCAATTAAAGTATTAATTATCTGTATTGGGGTGGTTGTGGAGTCTCCGGGGAGTCCACAATAATTTTGCTGTCACAATATTTTCCTAAACGAATACTTATTGTTTTGGTTAATAACTTTCTAAAATTGTCCAAAAGCGCGATAGGTCTAACGTTTGCCATGTTATAGCTGAATTTTTCTGGTTTTGGAATCGGAATAATGGTCGAGAATTTCCAATTGTATTGTTAGGTAGATTACCCATTGTCAGTATAAGATTTAGGGCGCATCTAATTAAATTCTGTAATCTTGGAGGTAATTTTTTAATCATAATATAATAACTCCTATGACTCCTGCTGCTGATTTTTCGTTTACACTTTTCAAGATCGTATCCCATTCCTCATCATCAATTTCTGTGAGTACTTCATCAAAAACCTGTTCATTCTGAGTCACTGGTTCATATATCTTTTGCCAAAAAGGTGGCATATCATGGATTGATGAGAAACTGACCCTCCTTTTTCTGAACTGATGTGAATAGAGGCTATTGCTTGTTCCGATATGTCGTCTGGTGATATTAACAACTCGAGGGGTGCACTTTTAGCAGTCGATCAATAGGAATTGATTTTTCAACGAATTATTGATCCATTTGGATTGATCGCTCTCAATTTGTTGGATCCTCTTTTCTATTGCTTCTGATATTTCGGTACGTTGCTTGGCTAGCATTTTAGCTCGTTCATGCTTTTGACGGGCCTTAAGTACCGCTTTTACCTGATCTACCCAAGTGGTTGTTAATGGTACAAGATTTGGGTTTAGATAGGTTTCGTCCACGTCCGGATAGTCTGTATTATATTTTGTGGCTATGGAAACCAATCGCTGAGCTCCTGACTTAAGTCATGTGCATTATTATTATCTTGGCGTGGGTTGGCCGCCTCATTCAGCATGAGAATCAACCACCTTGCTAAGTTTCGCGTGTATTTTCGGGTTGAAATAATTTGTTGTTAGTTACTTTCGATCTTTTTTCTTGTGTGGGAAAGTAGCGCGCGCTGTGTCCACTAGTGTCTCGGTAATATAATTCCATGTAAATTCTATATTGTCTTGAATAGTCTTACTATCGTTACTTTCTTTTGCATTAGCAATATCCGCTCTCAGTCTGTTCCATGTCTCGGGTTAACTTTTAAATTTTCTTTTTTCTATTATTGATTTTTTAAAAGGGAAAATTTAGATCTCGCCATGTGTAATGTTTGTAATGTTTAAATCTCGCCTTTATTCCAAAAAAGGATATTTTGTACGCTGATCATTTAATTCTGGCTAGAATTAAATACGTCACGTGATTTAATGAAAAAACCCCCCCCCCGAAAAAAAGTTCTTTGATGCTTTAAGTGAACTTGCCCATTCCAATTGTTAGCATAGTCCTAGTTTTTCAAATAGTCTGATCGAAGAGTGAGGTCCTGTAAGGGATGAAGTTCTGAATTCTATACATGTATACTAGTAGTCAGGCATGTAAATGCTTCCACACTTTTATTTGTAATAGTTTTGGTACTACCACTCTTTTAGTAATAAAATAAATAAATAAATAAATTTAAGTGAACTTGCAAAGTAGAGGAAAAATACATATAATAGACATTTTAAAAAGTTTGTATATTAAAAGTTTTTTTTTTATTATAAAATATTAAAATGTGAAATCTTAACATCATATATATGGGAAGGAAGGGAAATGAGATATATATTTTCCCTTTTTAAAATTATTTTTTTTAAAAAAATGATTTATTAATTTATTTAAAAGTAAGGTTCATTTCTTTATATAAATATATGAAATATATGGGTTTTATATAGTAAAATCTATAACAATTATTTATTAATATTATGTAATGTTAAAATCAAATAAAAACTCAGTTAATTGCAAAAAAATTTATATTTTATTAAGGATAGAGGGATTGATATAGCTGATCATATGGCTAAAAAAAAAAATCATTTTTTTTTTACTTTGCTATAAAGAAAACTCCCTCAATATTCTATGTAAAACTGTTTAAAAGTACTCTTTAGAAAGCTAGAGTTTCTGTCTTTCAAATAAACTTTAGCAAAGTATAGTACAAATAAGGTTTATGACAAAATATTACACTATAAAGTTGTCATTAAGTTGCGAATCTCCTATGGTAAGTTGCGAATCACCTAGAAAACATATCTTCAAATCAACTTGAAACTTATAAAACTTTACAAGCTAATAGTATAATAAAAAAAAAATATTTTATATCAAAAAATCATTGTGCATTACTTATTCAAATAAAATTTTTTATTAATACCATTTTATTTTTTTATTATTAGTCATATTTGCTTTTAAAAGTCCAAATACACTCAAAAAAACTAATAGCAAATGATTAAATGTTTTAATAAATAAAATGAAGTGCATGTATATACTCTTTTTAAATGTGTATTTAACAAAATTCATATGGTAGTTTGTGAGAAATCATAAATTTTTCATCTGCTTTTGCTCGTTTTATAGTCACGTAATGATCTACATTTTTTAGTCCATTATTGTATACACACCCCTACTATAAATTACCAGATTTTTTTACTATTTGTAGAATTTATGCGTAAAATTCAAAATTTTATATATATATAAAAAAATTTTTTCACTTAATAATTAAATATTTTTTTTTTCTTAAAATAAAATATCGAATATGAAGTTTATTATATAAAAAATTTGGACCAATAAAATTAATATTTAGTATGTCCACCTTTAGCCTTTATTACTGCCTCGATACGACTAGGTAAACTTAAAATTAGGTGGTGTAATGTTTCTATGCTTATTTTTCTCCATTCCTCCTGTACTACACTAATTAACTCCTGTTTAGATTTAGGCAAAGGCTTCCTTTTTCGTACCTGATGATCCAAATGGTCCCACAAGTTCTCAATCGGGTTTAGATCTGGGCTTTGCGTCACCCAGTCTAACATTGGAACATTATGCGTTCTCATCCACCAAATACTATAATTTGATGTATGACATGAAGCTCCATCTTGCTGAAATATGGAAACAGGGTAATTATTTACCAATAATATAAAGTGATTAGCTAAAACGTTGACGTAATCATCAGAATTCATGTTTCCATCAATCACAACCAAAGGTCCCACTCCATGCCAGCCAAAACAACCCCAAAACATCACTGAACCCCCTCCAAACTTAACTGTAGGTTGAATACAATCTTTATTGTAGGCTTCTCCAGGACTTCTCCACACTTTTACTCGACCATTTGATTCAAAAAGAGCAAATCTTGATTCGTCAGACCATACTACCTGTTTCCACTCATCTTCCCAATTTTGTTTTTCTCTAGCCCATCTCAATCGATCTTTTCATTGTTTTTCAGTTAAAAGAGGTTTCTTATGTGTAGAATAACTGCTAATACCTACTCCATGAAGATATCTTCTAACTGTACTTTGATGCAAAGTTGTGTTAAGGCTGGAGTTTAATCTGTTTGTTATATCACCTAGAGGAGAAAACCGATCAGTACGAACAATACGTCGTA